TGGCTTCATTTCCAACCCACTAATTACAACGTCATTCATTCGACTGTATTGTTCCAAGTCAGCCACACGATGTTTCAGGAAGGCTATTTGCTTGTCTTTCTCTACATTCTGTCTCTTCAATTCTTTAACTTCCCCCATTATAAGATTTTGTTGTTGTGAGATTTTTGCTATCTCATCAGACATAAAATCCAAGGATTTCTTTATCTCCTCAAACTCTTCCTCTGTTATCGATCAGCTTTGCTTCGTATTTCTTTTCGACATTTCCGTTTAATCTGAACAAGTTGATGGTCAGGCATTGTGTCCAGCTCAGGTGAAGTGTTGTCACGGTAGCAGCCTCAGGAGTTGTAGCCACAGCAGCTCAGCGTTGTAGCCTTAGAGAGACTTTGGCTGGAACCGCATATTTTATGCGGTTGAAAGAAAGATTGAAAAGATCCAAGAAATGTGGTTTCATGCAATACAAAATTATTTGAAAAATCTGCACATAAAATTTTAAAAGGTTAAAAATTAATAGATGGAGATGCAAACAAAAACAAAGATGTAATATAATTTTTGCATCCCCGTTAACTGAGCCTGGAGCTACAGCGATAAGACTTCACCTTTTATCTGTTCGGGACAAAACGGAAGACGCCCAGGTTTTAGCTTCACGAAACTTGTACTGAATTATGCGGTGAGTTTATTCATATTTCAGTTAAAAGTTAATAAAAACTGCAAATGATCATTTATGAACAATTTATTGTTTTATTCTTTACAGTAAAGCAAAAAGTGAAAACAGATCAACCAGAGCAATGAAAGTGAGTTTTACTGAGAGGAATTACTTATCTTCATATTTAATATCTACAACTTGTTTTAATAAACGTTTTTGTTTCCTAACAGCCACAGATGATGAACCTGCAGAAACGCATACGAGGTTCTGCCTTGTGAGTGAACCAAAACAATGAATCATAAAAACTAAATGATTTCTATTATCAGATAAAGTTATGATATTAATTATTGTTTATGATGTTCCATAAAGCCTGAAGGTTTCTGTCAACACTGACTTATTATAACTGAATAATAAAAGTTCATAAACTACAGAAAATAAAGTGAAATTATTTTAGCGTCTTCAGTTGATATTAAACATTTTATTTTGTTCATGTTTCTTGTGATTAAACATCATTTCATGCAATAGTTGATATTATTATGTTTTGTAACTAAATAACTACTGAAGTTTCCAGCAGTAAAGTTCAGGTTAAAGGTCGTTGAAACGAGTTTAGGATGTTAAAGTCCTGAAAAAAGTTATATATATTTTTATGTTTCTTTTTAAACTTTGATTTTTAAATGTAATGTCTGTTTGCTGCAGCTGATCCTGACCTGCAGAGCAGCAGCAGCTCCAGCCTGCAGCCACCTGACAGTGAGTCCAGCAGGGGGCAGCAGAAACACACCTGGTTCTGTTGAAACTGGCTTCATTCTGAGAATGAAAGGATTTGAACCTGCAGCCTTCTGGCTGCTCTCTGCACTCAGCTCAGGCTGTAAAGTTGAACAGAAATCAGTTTTAAAATCAGCTTTTGGCTCCACCTGCTGGAGCTTCATCTTCCTCCTCTGTCCAGAGTCTTCCTCTGCATCGTGTTTACAGGAAATGTTGGGTTTGATCCGCTGCCTGCCGTGTTTTTGTTTCCAGTGTCTGAGCTCCGGGTCATCCTGCTGGGCAACAGCCTGCCGGACACAACTGCAGTTGCCAACTTCCTCCTGGAGGTGCCGCTGTTCACCACAGAGGAGGCTGGTCAGAGGCCTGCTGAGGGACAAGGAGGTGGTTCTGATCAACAGCCCGGATGTTCTGGACCCGGCCAGAACATCCGGGCAGACTGGCAGAGTTCACAGAGAGCTGCGTGCGCTGCTGTGCTCCCGGACCGCACGTCTTCCTGCTGGTTCTGCAGCCGGTTCGCTTCACCAGGACCAGAATCTGCGGCTCCGCAGAGTCCTGGTGCTGTTTGAGGACCAGCCATTTGATCATACTCTGGTTCTGCTGTCCACACCCAGAACCAGAACCAGAAGCTGCATGGAGAAGCAGCAGCTGCCGCCCTGCCTGAAGCAGCTGATCAGGATGTGTCACTTCCGCTTCCTGTGGAGGGAAAACCTGGAGCATCCGGAGCTGTTCACCCGTCTGGTCCAGATTATAAAAGAGAACAATGGGGAACATGTGAAGCGGAGAGAACATGTGAAACAGAGAGAGCATGTGGAACGGAGAGCATGTGAAACGGAGAGCATGTGAAACGGAGAGCATGTAAAACGGAGAGAACATGTGAAAGAGAGAGCATGTGAAATGGAGAGAACATGTGAAACAGAGAGAACATGTGAAAGAGAGAGAGCATGTGGAAAAGAGCATGTGGAACAGAGAGCATGTGGAGCAGAGAGAATGTGAAGCGGAGAGAACATGTGAAGCGGAGAGAACATGTGAAAGAGAAAACATGTGAAAGAGAACATGTGAAAGAGAGCATGTGGAACAGAGAGCATGTGGAACAGAGAGCATGTGGAACAGAGAGCATGTGGAACGGAGAGAACATGTGAAGCGGAGAGAACATGTGAAAGAGAGAGCATGTGAAACAGAGAGCATGTGAAACGGAGAGAACATGTGAAACAGAGAGAGCATGTGGAACGGAGAGCATGTGGAACGGAGAGCATGTGAAACGGAGAGCATGT